TCATTTGTATTGGAGAGGGCGGCCTTATCAGCTTTGGAAGGTTTAGGGGGCATTTTGGTTGACTGGTCATCATTCTGTCTTCACAAGAGCATTTTTCAGAGTGCTCCATTTGCCTCTGTGACTGTAGGAGCTGGATAGAGAGGGGTCCTTGACTAAAAGAGGGACAGTGAGAGGAGGCAGCTGTGTCAAGGCCAGGGCACTGCTGCCAGAGGGTAAGGAGGCTGGGGGCAAGGGAAAGAGAGACTGAGAGAATATCTTTATGAATAAACATCTTCTTATTCACTAAGTTATTCAAGAATACATTCAAGAATATATTAATACATTCTTAGAAATACATTAATGAAGAATCTATTCATTGGCTTCATTCATATTCATGGAGAATATATTCATGAAAGTATACTTGAATATAGTTAATATCTTAAATGTTCTTGTGGCTGGATCTTTCATGGTAATGGAAAGATAATCATGGGGTATCTACTTCCAGGGTGGACACCCTGCCTCTCCCCCTCTCTGTGGGCAGTAGCCTCAGCCATGTTGTCAGCCCACTCTCTTCCCAACAGGAAGCAGGGCAGAGACTAATGGAATGTTCCTTGAAACACTGTGATGAATCAGCTCTTTTTATTTTTAATTTTTAATTAAATCTTTATTGTTCAGATTGTGAATCAGCTCTTGATGAATTGACTTTCAACAAATGAGTGTTCAGCTTATTAGCTCCCTGGGGGACGTCTATGTGTAGGTGTCAGTGAAGTTCTCAAAATAGGACCAAATGACCTCCTTGCTTCACATTCCCTGTCCCTATGACAGCACCATTGGTTATGTTCTTCTGCACGTCAGAATCAGGGCCATCAGCCTGGTCCTTCATTGCCATTGACTCCAGCGTTCTGTGGTACCTTTCCTCTTCTCCAGTGCCACTGCCCCTGGCTTGGGTCAAGCCTTCCTCGGCTCTTCCCTAAAAGAAAGTTCTAGAAGCCACCTGTCCTTCCTGTTGCCCAAATGAGGAACCTCAAAGATTTTTTAAATTATGAAACATTCCAAACCCAGGCGAAATGTAGAGAATAACATGATCGACCCTGTATACCTACCCCTGAGCATTCTGAAATCTTCACATTTAGCATTTTTGCTTCAAATCTTCTATATATATTTTTTTTAAAAAAATATTTTTATTGATTTCAAAGAGGAAGGGAGAGGGAGAGAGAGATAGAAACATCAACAATGAGAGAGAATCATTGATCAGCTGCCTCCTGCACGTCCCACACTGGGGATTGAGCTTACAACCCAGGCATGTGCCCTGACTGGGAATTGAACCATGGTCTTCTGGTTCATAGGTCAGTGTTCAACCACTGAGTCACACCTGCCTGGCTTGTTTATATTTTTTAATGATCCACTGAGATATAGTTTACATGCCATAAAATGCAGTTTTAACTGTACATTTTTATGATATTTAGTAAATTTACTGAATTGTGCAACCATGACCACAATCCTATATTTGTTATTTGCTTTAATAATCGCTTTATTGAGATATAATTCACGTACCATAAAATTCATCCATTTAAAATGTACAATTCAGTAGTCTTTAGTATGTTCACAGAGTTGTGCAACCATCACCACTATCTCATTACAGACCATAACATTGTCATCACCCCAAAGAGAAACCTCACCCCCATTAGTAGTCACTCCCCACCTTCCCCTTCTCCAGCCCCGGCAACCACTATTCTGTTTTTTCTGGATTGGTCTATTCTGGACATTTCTTTTTTTTTTTTATTTTTTTGATTTTTTACAGAGAGGAAGGGAGAGGGATAGAGAGTTAGAAACATCGATGAGAGAGAAACATCAATCAGCTGCCTCCTGCACATCCCCCACTGGGGATGTGCCCGCAACCAAGGTATATGCCCTTGACCGGAATCGAACCCGAGACCCTTGAGGCCGCAGGCCGATGCTCTATCCACTGAGCCAAACCGGTTCTGGCAATTCTGGACATTTCATATAAATAGAAGCACGCACTATGTGGTCTTTTGTGGCTGCTCCATCTCTATAATCCACAGATTTTTACGGAAGAACTACTGCATGCCAAACACTGGTGCCGGGAACACATATGGAATTTAGTAGCATACGGGGGTAATTTAGATCTTGATTTCTACAACTTCTAGTCTCTCTCTATTTTGGTAAAGCTGTTACAAAAGGGGAATGGCATATAGGAGATACATGACTGTCAGTGTGGGCGGGGCTGAGGCGCAGACCTGGAAGAGTAGGCTGGCTTTGACTGGAGCTGAGGGCCAGAGGTGGAAGGCAGGTCCTGAACCCACGTCTAGTCTTTTATTTATATTTTTAATATGGAACGCTTCATGAATTTGCGTGTCATCCTTACGCAGGGGCCATGCTAATCTTCTCTGTATTGTCCCAATTTTAGTATATGTGCTGCCGAAGCGAGCACCCAAGTCTAGCCTTGATGTAGGACCACTCGCTGCCAGCACAAGCTCTGGGCGGGGTACTCAGAGAGAATTATTTTCTCTTTTGCTCCCAAGACAAACGCTGATGGCAGAATTGGTGAATGAGCACCTGCAGCGGCACCTGGATGAAATTTACTGTCTCAAACAGAATCTGGCCTACGCTGAAGAGAAAATGGCCTATCTTTCCTATGAGAAAGCCAAGGAAATATGGGTGAGTTCCTCACAGGGGAGCTTTTCGAGAGAAAGCCAGTGAGATGGATGTAGGGATGAGAGAAGCCCAGGATGAGCCAATCTGTTCTGGTAACCTCCAAACCAAGGAAGGAGACAGATATTCAAGCTGTACCCCTGTTGAGGTTTCATTGGCAACTCCCACATTTGTTTTAGAGCTGGCGGTGGCCAATCTTTATGTTCATGCTGCACTTCCCCTCTCCCCCCACCTTAGCTGATCTGGGAACTTGGGCACTGCAGTTCTCACACTTGAGCCCAGAACCACCTGCAGAGGGGGCTGATGAGTACCCAGGAGCTGCTGGGGGTGTAGGGAACACCAGCTGGGAACCCCTGCTTTTGACCCTGGAGCGGCAAGTGTGGGTGGCGGATCTCCCTCTCCTGTGACAGATAGCCTCACTCTCTTCCACACCCTCAGACCTTACACCTGACCTGGCTCAGCTGTCTCACGGCCAGGCTCTCAGTCTCAGACCAGGCTGGATGAGCGCCAAGTCAGATGAGACCTTTGCTGTTACTGGGAGATATGGACCCTCCCAGACAGGGCCCTCAGCGTGTAGGTGCTCTAGGCCAGTGGTCGGCAAACTCAGTCAACAGAGCCAAATATCAACAGTACAACGATTGGAATTTCTTTTGAGAGCCAAATTTTTTAAACTTAAACTATATAGGTAGGTACATTGTTATTAACTTAATTAATAATTTTGGATTGAGTACTTAGTATTAACAACATGAGTTCAATACAGTAATATATTTATGGAATGCCTATTATGTGTCTAAGGCTGGAGATAACATGACATCCTTCTGGAACTTACATTCTCGTGAGGAAGATCAACTTTAAATAAATAAATAGTCACATCAAATAATTGCAGTTGTCATGAGTGCTAAGGAAGGAAATAAACAGTAAGCGAGAGAAGTTATTTAGCAAAGTTAGGCATTAAACCCTCTAAGCAGCTAAGTTTTATTTTATAGTAACAAAGCCACCAACACAAAATAATTACAATTCTTAAATTGATGACAAAAATACCTGTAGGATTTGCAGCTGGTTGGAAAAATACAGGTAACTTTATGCTTTGAGTAGGTACTTTTGTCACCCACGCGCGATTTGCAGACGCGACTAGCACTAACCACTGCACATCAGACTGATGACTGACTGGCTCACTCAACTCCTGCATGAATCCTGAGCGCCTCCCCCGCGCTGCGTATGGCGCGGCCCACCTGCACCGCATCTCCCGTGGCCCGACCCACCGACACCCCCCACTTCTGAACCACTTCTTCAAAATAGACTCGCCCAGGTCGAAAACAGACTTCAGCGCATGGGCCATGAAGTTTCAGTCGCACTGTACATGCACGCCCGCACGTGGTATTTTGTGGAAGAGCCACACTCAAGGGGCCAAAGAGCCGCATGTGGCTCGCGAGCCGCGGTTTGCCGACCACTGCTCTAGGCTCTCGTCTTCCCTCCTAAATCTTCAGCTCACCACTTGCTGTGCAACCCTTAGGCACTCAGGTAAATGACCGCACCTCCCTTCTGACCACTGTGTTTTTATCACCTGCAGAACGTCATGGAGACTTTTAAGAGTCGTATAGCCAAGCTGGAAACTCTACAGCAAGTGACTCAACCAAATATGACAGAGAACCTCAGGAACTGTCCCCAGAAGCTTGTGTTCCAATTTCTGAACCTGCTCCTCACGCTGGCCACCATCTTCCTGGTCTTCATCTCTACTGTGTGCACCTTTCCCTTGACACAGTTGAATTCACGCCTGCGCATGTGCAGCGTGATGGTGCTGATCGGCGTTGGGGCCCTGGCCTGGCAGAAGTGGCATGCCATTTCTGCCACGGACTGGCAGGCCTGGGTCGCCTCCAGATGGAGATTGTATTCCAAGGACGCCAAACCTCTACCAGGCGGGCCTTAACGTGGGCCCCCAGCTCCTCTCTTTTCCAGGTGTCAGGGCAGCCAGCCAGCCCTCCCCAGGAGGCCACTCCTGAGATCTGGCTTTCAGATTTTGTCCACACTAGCCCCAGCTCGCAGTTCCCTTTCTCACAACCTTTCCTTACAATCTGCAGACCTTGGAAAAGATTAAAGTCTCCGGAAGTGCAGTGCTACGCTCCTCTATAAACCCCTCATGCTCTCTAGCGACCCAGTGACTGAACACTCGGGGGCTCAGGGGCACCTCTCTGTGACTTGGTTGTTTCTGGCAAAGAGAAGCTACATTTACTTCACAGGGATGGAGAAGAAGGGATGGTGGCGGTGGTGGCCAAAGCCCTGGTGAGTGGGACAGGGGTGACGTTTTCTGGTAGGAGGCAGATCTCTTTGTTGTTGGGGCTGGGAGAGACTCATGCGGGGGACACCGAAGAGACAGATGAGGCCTCCGTCCTGGAGGTGCTGGAGATCTCAGAGCTATCATCCACTCTCTTCCCAAAGAGTTGCAAGATGCAGTTTCGAAACTGGCAGGACAGAAAGGGTTATTCAGCAGAGCAGGAAGGGTCAGTGCGCTATGCTAAAGGTGATGCTGAGGGCATTCGGAGGAAGGTATTCACTAAGTGTCACCTGGATGACTCAAAACCTTCTCTCCTGCCATTCACAATCCCACAGAGTGAATGGAGGAAGACTCGGGTGGTCCTCGCATGTGGGGATGGTCTATGTCTGACTATCCGGTCATCTAAGTCATCTAATTTACCAGCTGATGGTGACTATTTGGGTCACATCGTGGCCCCGAAAAAGGTATGTTTAAGTCCTAATGCTTGGGGCCTGTGAATGTGACCTTATTTGGAAATAGTCTTTACAGATGTGATTAAGATATACATTAAGCCAGGCTGGTGTGGCTCAGTGGTTGAGTGCTGACCCAGGAACCAAGAGGTTGCTGGTTTGATTCCCAGTCAGGGCACATGCCCGGGTTGTGGGCTTGATCCCCAGTAGGGGCCGTACAGGAGGCAGCCAGTCGATGACTTCCTCTCTCATTGATGTTTCTATCTCTCTCCCTCTCCTTTCCTCTCTCTCTAAAAATCAATAAAAATATACATTCTTAAAAAAGATATACATTACCAGGAGGGCAAGCTGGAACAGAGTTGGCCCTAATGCAATGACTGGTGTCCTTATAAGTAGAAGGGAATTTGGACACAAACATACAGGGATAGAGGGAAGACGGCCATGTGAAGGTGAAGGCAGAAATTAGGGCGATTTGTCTACAAACCAAAGAATAGCAAGTACTCACCAGAAGGTAGAAGAGGGATTCGGAACAGATTTCCCCCCAGAGCCCTTAGAAGAAGCTAGCCCTGCTGACATCTTGATCTCAGACTTCTGGCCTCCAGAACTAGGAGATCATATGTTTCTGTTACTTAGAGCCACCCAATCGGTGGTAGTTCATTACGGCACCTCAGGGAACTCATGCTGTGACCAAAGATGATGCCAGCTAAGGGGCCCATGCATAGATAGAGCGACCTGTCTCCAGAATGTCTGGTAAGAGGCATTTTTATTGAAAGGGAATGTGATTGTCATCTTGTTTGTATTCCATCAATTTTAAAAAATATTTTTATTGACTTCAGAGAGAAGAGAGAGGGAGAGAGAGAAACATCAATGATGAGAGAGAATCATTGATCCGCTGCCTCCTGCATGCCCCACACTGGGGATCAAGCCCCCAACCTGGGCATGTGCCCTGCCTGGGAATTGAACTGCGACCTCTTGGTTCATAGGTTGATAGGTTGATGATGCTCAACCACTGAGCCATGCAGCTGGGTTCTATTCCATCAATTTTGAGGCCAGGTGAGGACTAGGTAAACAACAGTGTAGCCACCACCTCGTCTCTTTAGCCAAGAGAGTCTTCCGGCACCAGGGAGGCCCTGCTCTTTGCTGCTTGATCCTTAAAGAGATCTGGGCCGTATGTATTTCTCCGATTATATCTCATATCATCACTGTGCTAACCAAAATGCTTTGAGAACACAGATCAGATGCATTTCCTATATATTCCAAGCCTATTTTTTTTTAAATAAAATTTTATTGATCTCAGGGAAGAACAGAGAGGGAGAGAGAGAAACATCAATGAGAGAGGATCATTGATCAGCTGCCTCCTGCACACCCCCTACAGGATCTAGCCTGCAACCCAGGCATGTGCCCTTGACCGGGAATCGAACCCAGGACCTTTCGGTCCATAGGCCAATGCTCTATCCACTGAGCCAAACCGGCTAGAGCCCAAGTCTATTCTATTCTCTCTCTCTCTCTCTCTCTCTCTCTCTCTCTCTCTATATATATATATATATATATATACACACACACACACACACACATATATATGTATATATAATTGATTTTTTACAGAGAGGAAGGGAGAGGGATAGAGAGCTAGAAACATCGATCAGCTGCCTCCTGAACACCCCCCACTGGGATGTGCCCGCAACCAAGGTATATGCCCTTGACCAGAATCGAACCCGGGACCCTTCAGTCCGCAGGCCGACGCTCTATTCACTGAGCCAAACCAGTTAGGGCCCAAGTCTATTCTCGATTACATCCAGCTCCCTCCAACATTAGAACTCTCAAAAATGAATAACATAATTGTTGACACTGATAACATAAGAAATGGGCTGAACAGCAGAATCAACTCAGCTAAAGAGCTGCCAGATGAGGCTAAGAATTTATCCAATACATTCACTTAACATCTACCTACTGAGCACCCATTTTGTGCCAGACTGTGTCCTAAGGGTTTCATCAGGGATGTCCTCATGGAGTTCCATCCCAGAAAGTTCTCTCAGAATGCAATAGGAAGGGGTAACAGTGTGAAAAGGTGAAAGAAAGTTTGAAAGCCTGGAGAGGTCCAGAAGTGCGACATCTGTCTGGGGCGGGGTGGGGGTGGGGAATGGAAAGACTCAAGCAAAGACAGTACTTGTCAAGCTAGCCTAAAATTCCACTAACAAAAGCCAGGCCTAAAAAGAGACCCGCAAGAAAGAAAACAGGGATCTGGGATTGAACTGTACTCTGGGTATTGAGGTTCGAGGAATGGAACCCCAGGGAATCAATCGTGGTCCTACTGAATATTTATTTATTTATTTTAAAACATTTTATGATTTCAGAGAGGAAGGGAGGAGAGATAGAGACATCAATGATGAGAATCATCAGTCAGCTGCATGCCCCACATTGGGGATCGTGACCGGGAATCGAACTGTGACCTCCTGGTTCCTTAAGCATGCATTCCTTTGGTAATGTTTAAATATTCAGTAGCCCATGCTGGCTGGGCTACTGAATATTTAAACATTACCAAAAGAATGCGTGCTTAAGGAACTCAAGGCCAGGCAGGAGGGGGCACAGCCATGGAGCAATTGTGAAATGGACGAGCAGAGAAAAACCCGTTGGAAGGAGTAGACTGGGTGTGGTGAAATAGGAGCTCCCTGAGGGGCAGTATTTCTGACCCACGACCTCTCTGGTCACCAAGTCACATCATAGATGCGCCCTAATGAAGTGGATGTGACGGATTCAAGAAAGAATAAGGTAAATTGCACTTGGAAGATGGTGAACCTCAATAGTCACCTGTATCTATCAAGAAGTCTAGGAGTCATGGGCAGTTTGCTGTGGAGGCCCAGTGTGCCAGTCCATGCTGGCTGCCATCTAGGGAGACTTTGGGTGGAACCACAGTGTGTCCACCCTAAACTAACCTATAAAGCCACGAAAGCCACAGGTCAGTGCAGCCAAGAAGGGCCTCTTTTATGTCCTGGTCAGAATTAGAGTTTGAAGGTGGAAAGATGAAGGTTGAGAGAAGAGTTGTGCCAATACTGACAAGAAGTGCACACCTGAGGGAAATATAGCCATGTCCAGGCAGTCCTCTGGTGTTCAAGCTCTAGGCTAGCCCTGAGGCCAACAGAAGGGAAGAGCGCTGCAGTGCACAGGCCCTGCAGGAAATGCCCACCTTCAGGCAGAGACAGACCATAAAAGGATCCAGAAGGAGGGCTGCCTGGGGTTGGGGTCACGTGCTGAGCCTTCTCCGGTCATTGTTCCGGAGACCAGATACTATTCCAGGTGGGAGCCATCATGGGGCTCTTCCATGGTCTATTTCTAGTTTGCTGTGTGGATGGTGTGACTTACCTGCCGGTTCATAAAGACATAGATAATGGGGTTGTAGATAGTGGCACTTTTGGCAAAGTAGGCTGGCAGTGCGGCCACCAGAGGGTGGAAGGCGTAGCCAGGGTGGGCAGCAGCGAAGCATGCAAAGAAAGTGTAGGGCCCCCAGCAGAGGCAGTATGCCAGGATCATCACCACCACCATGCGCGTCACCTCCTTCTCTGCCTTCTGGGTGGACTCGGATTCTTTCTGCTGCTTCGCCACCTGAGGGAGACAGAGGGTCGTGCCAAGGGACAGTGAGTAGGAGAGTTCCTCAGGGCTCTGAACCTGAAGGGACTCCGTGTTCCTGGTGGGCTAGGGATGGAGAGTCCTGGGGAGAAGGAGACAGGCCCACCCACTATAGCACCTCGCCAGCCAGCAGCCAGTTCCCATCTGAGTGAGTGCATGCCTGGCCTACAGCTCTCTAGAGGGTGGCCTCGCGAGAGCTGTGCAAGCTTTGAGGCAGCACGCAGCTGAACTAGCTGAGATGTCCCTGAGCTGGGGCCTTCCAAACTCTTGGCTTAGCTTGGCTCCCATTGGGAGTTTGGGCAGGAGCTAAGGGGGCTGTTCTGAGCCTCACCTGGTCCCTTACCAGCATGCTCCCTCCTGTGCTCAGATCTGAGGGCTTGGGCAGGAGAAGACACAGGGGCTGGCCTCTGCCTGCTACGGGCAGGGCCTGATGGCAGACAGCTGAGTGGGCACGAGGGGAAACTGTGAGGGCAGGTAACACATTCTGGAGCCTGAGCTCCACAACTCAGACCCAATGTGGCCCAAGCCATGGTTGGACACCTTGGGAGCCAGCTAAGTTGCTTCTGATCCCTGACCGCAGACAGGGTGGGGGAAGGGGGGGGTATCCCAGGCTGAAGGTAGTGAGATGAGGGGAGCTTATCTGGAGCCTCCGCTCTAGAGAGAGCTTATAAGCCCATGCTGATCGGATTGTGGGCACAGGCAGCTTCATATAGGAAAGGCGCCACCCCAAAGGGCCTTCTACCACCGGTGCCAAGCAGGATACCAACAGGAACAGATGGTACATCCAGATCAAGCTAATGGTAGCTTAGCTCACTGATAAAGGGACAAATTACGGTATTCAGGAGACCACAAGGGGAGCACAGAGCTCCCAGCACCCCAGGACCCAACCTCACTCTGCTGTCTTGCTCTGATTTCCTGCAGAGGCGCCCCAGTGGTAGCCCAGCTTGCACAGGGGAGGAGGGGAGGATCAGCTTCCCAGGGAGGAGAAGGGGGGAGAGGAGCCTGGAGGGCAGACGGCATATGTGAATTCACTTCTTAGCCTGCCCCAACAGGCCAGTGGAGGGGACAAGGGCCCTCCAGTGGCATCCTTTTAACAACACTCCTTGATTTGCAGGTTTCATTTGAGGATCTGGCTGGTTCGGGAGGAATGCAGCTCTGCTCCATTACTGGGGTAATCCCTTCCTATTCTATAAGGACAAGGACAAGGGAGCCAGGGCTGTAAGTGCCAGATTCATGTCTGGTTTGGGGGCAGGGGAGTGGACCCTCTGTCCAGGTGACCCTCTGTCCCTGCCCAGACATCCCTGGCCTTCATGATCCTACCAGCCAGGGGCGAAGCCAGGAGGGCACGGGGGCTTACAGCTCGGATGGCCAGCCAGACTTGGAGGTAGCAAAGCACGATGACGCTGAGTGGGATGATGCAGCACGTGGTCATGAGGACAATCATGTACGACTGCACCCCAGGATACGAGCTACCGCTGAACACGTCTGGGCCGCATGAAGTCTTCAGGCCATGGGGCCAGTACCTGGATAGAAGAGTCGGCAGCCTGTCCCAATGCAGGCAGGGCAACCTGCGACTCGCAGCCCAGCCATGCCACTGACGGGTAGGGTTGTTAGTTATTTGTTTTTTAATGAAATTAAAATCACATTACATGAATGGACCATTTTTTAATTTTTTTTTTAGAATGGAAGGGAGGAGGAAGGGAGAAAGAGAGAAACATTGATGTGAGAGAGACACATCGATTGGTTGCCTCCTGCACGGGCCCTGGGGATCAAGCCTGCAATTGAGGTACGTGCATTTGACCAGAATCGTACCCGGGACCCTTCAGCTTGTAGGCTGACGCTCTATCCATTGAGCCAAACTGGCTAGGGCTGACCATTTTTGAGTGATCAGCTCCATGGCATTTAGTACTTTCATTGCCGCTATCTGGTTTCAGATCATTTTCATCACCTTGATCACGTCCCCTTTTCACAAAGAGAGGGTGAAGCACCCTCTTGCCTTCTAAGAACCTGTGAACACCCGAATCATTTTTCCGGTGTCAGCCAGATCAGCCCATGGCCTGAAGTTGTAGGCATTTTTCCATGTGTTCCCATGAGCAGCTCAGGCTTGGAAGCCACGGGGAAGGGTTGGAGACCGTGTTCCAGCAGCCAGATTCGTTCACTCATAGACACTGCGTGCTAGAAGGGGCCTCAGGGGGAGGCGGGTCCCTCTTCACTTTATTTGTGGGGCCGTGGAGGCCCAGAGACGGAAACCTATTTGCCCCGAGGTCGCAAAGGGAATCACGAGTCTGACCCTCCCCTCTTGGTCCTAGCAAGGCGCCTTCCTGGCACCCTGGCATCCTTACCTGCTCCAACCAAAGATGGGCGGGGCTGTCCACACAGCAGACCAGACCCAGGAGAAGGTGATGCCTGCGATGGCCAGCTTGGCATCAAATCTCACGTTGCCAAAAGGCTTGCAGACCACCAGCCACCTCTCCCAGGAAATGATGGCCAGGGACCAGAGCCCCGTGATCCCTGCAGGGGAGAACAGACAGATGGCAGCTTGGAGCCTCCTATATCACTTCTTCCACCCGGAGCAGCCGACAGCTTTCCAGATGAAGAGGCGCTCCCCAAGCACCTGCAAAACCTGATTCTCCAAAGAGCGTTGTCAGGTCCAGGGGGCACTGGGTCTCTTGGTCAATTACTTTTTTTTAAATAGCAGTCTTTTAAAAAAATATATTGTATTGATTTTTTACAAAGAGGAAGGGAGAGGGATAGAGAGTCAGAAACATCGATGATAGAGAAACATTGATTAGCTGCTTCCTGCACACCCCCTACTGGGGATGTGCCCGCAACCAAGGTACATGCCCTTGACTGGAATTGAACCCGGGACCCTTCAGTCCCCAGGCCGACGTTCTATCCACTGAGCCAAACCGATCAGGGCAATTACTTTTTAAGAAATATATTTTTTATTGATTTCAGAGAGGAAGGGAGAGAGGGAGAGAGATAGAAACATCAATGATGAATCATTGATTGGCTGCCTCCTGCACGCCCACACTGGGGACCAAGCCGGCAATCCAGGCATGTGCCCTGACCAGGAATCGAACCGCGACCTCCAGGTTCATAGGTTGATGCTCAACCACTGAACCACGCTGGCCAGGCTTGGTCAATTTCTTTTTCTAACTCCTGTTTTCCCCGATTGGGTCTTTCCTTGCCCCCTCTGATTCGACCTCTTGGTCCACCTTGTTTTCCCTCTTTCTTGTACTTGGCCACCAGCCTTTCCTGTGATGGCATTGAGCAACCGCCGGTGACCCTGTACATACCAGCCTGCCCACTGACGTGCTGTGATCCCAGCCAAGAGCTGTGCCCCTCCTGCCAGTACGCACACGTTTCTGCAGGTGCTTGGAACCCTTCCCTGATATCTCACCTCCTTCCTATGTTTAGCAGGTGGAGACAGGGTCTTCTGTGCTGCTTAGACCCCGGAGGTCTGTGCACAGAATTAAGGTGTCCATGAACTGGGGTGGGAAAAATGACATCTTTGTTTCTACTAACCTCTAACTGACACTGGCATTTCCTTCTGTTATGAATGTGAAAGTATTAGCAGTGCCCATGACTCGGTCACTTTACAGAGGGTGGCAGACATTTCCCAATATCACTATGTTCATTACCACTGTGAGAAATTTATTTATTTTTTAATTCTCACCTGAGGATATTTTTCCATTGATTTTTTAAAATATATATTTTTATTGATTTCAGAGAGGAAGGAAGAGGGAGAGAGAGATAGAAACATCAATGATGACAGAATTATTGATCAGCTGCCTCCTGAAAGTCCCCCACTGGGGGTCGAGCCCACAACCTGGGCATGTGCCCTTGACCTGAATCAAACCTGGGACCTTTCAGTTCGCAGGCCAATGCTCTATCCACTGAGCCAATCTGGCTAGGGCTTTCCATTGATTTTTAGATAGAGTGGAAAGGAGGGGGAGAAACAGAGAGAGAGAGAAACATTGATATGAGAGAGACACATCGATTGGTTGCCTCCTACATGCACCATGACCAGGCCAGGGATCAAACCTGCAACTGAAGTACGTGCCCTTGAAGGGAATCAAAGCCAGGACCCTTCCATGTGCAGGCCAATGCTCTATCCAGTGAGCCAAACTGGCTAGGGCACCACTTTGAAATTTCAATGACTGTCAGGCCAGGTCCAGTTATTTGATACTTTAATAAAGAATGGTGTCACTAATATTCCAGAAAATACTCTTAATACTATTTATTTAATTACTAGAGGCCCAATGTACAAAATTCGAACAAGAGTAGGCCTTCCTTCCCCCAGCTGCCTGCACTGGCTTCCCTCTGGTACCTGGGACCTGGGCTTCCCTCGCAGCACAGGCTTCACCGGAAGGTTGCCCAGAAGGATGTCTGGTCTAATTAGCATATTATGCTTTTATTATTATAGATAATATAACTTAGTATTATAATTTTAATACTTTAAATGAAGGCTATGTTGCTAATTACTATTTAATACTTTGAGAACTGTATTTCAGTATCATTGTAGTCCTTTGTAATCTTATGGACTTCGTGTGCATTTGCAAACATTCTTCTGAGAAGGGTTGCATATGTTTCCACTGAGATCCAGGGGGCGTCCATGGCACCAAAACTGGTTCAGAAGTGCTGGCGCCCAGCTGGTATGGCTCAGTAGTTGAGCATCAACCTATGATCCAAGAGGTCATGGTTTGATTCCCGGGGCCTCAGTCCTCAGTGGGGGACATGCAGGAGGCAGTTGAGCAATGATTATCTCTCATTATGGATGTTTCTCTCTCTCTCCTTCTCCCTTCCTCTCTGAAATCAATAAAAATAAATCAATACAATTTTTAAAAAGTTTCAGCTCCTCCAGATCACGGTCCTCGGAGAGGACCGATGGCACTCTGTAGTCACTCTCTGTGATAGGGGCCTCTCTTCCCTGGACTTGGGAACACCTGGGACTGGGACCCTGTGTGCCACATCCTCTACGCCTGGTGCCCACCACAAAACCCAGCTCATGGGTACTTCTCAGCCAATGTTGACCTGAATAGAGCCACGGCCCACAGAGATATTAGTGATGGGGATGGGGAAAGGGATCTGGGAATTGCTTCTTTCCCTGGAAAAATCCAACACAGGTGAGCTGAAAGGGAACACGGCCCTGATGGTGGGCGTTCGGTTCGGGGGGCCTGGAGCCCTCCCCTCCCACATTGTTCTGAGGTTGTCTGACTCTATATCTGTCTCCTCACATGCCAGCTGCATGGCCCCAAAGTGGCTGTCCAAAGGCAGAACCTGGCCCAGCTGGCGTGTCTCAATGTGGTTGAGCATAGACATATGAACCAGGAGGTCACGGTTCGATTCCCAGTCAGGGTACGTGCCCGGGTTCCAGGCTCAATCCCCAGTGTGGGGTGTGCAGGAAGCAGCCAATCAATGATTCTCTCTCATCATCGATGTTTCTATCTCTCTCTCCCTCTCCCTTCCTTCCTGAAATCAATAAAAATATATTTTCAAAAGCCAAACAAAGAACAGGCAGAACCTATCTCAGAGTAGGCACTCAGGATGTGTTGGATTGCACCAGCCGGCCCCCCACCTAAATGATGACCCAGGCCCGCTTTCTCCTGCACGCCTGTCTCCCTTTAAACATATGCATTGCAGGCACACGTGGGGTGTGCCGTGTGAGTATGTCTTTTATGCACAGCAGGCTGGGTCTTCTCCTGAGCCCGGGCCCTTAGCTGGCTTACCGCACAGGGAGACGGTGTAGCCCTCCACAACGCACAGAGGGTGGCCCAGCACAAAGTAGCCATAGATCTGATTCACGACGCTGATGGTGCTGGCGATGAGGGTCTCTGCCAGGTCAGCCACAGCCAAGTTCACCAGGATCCAGTTTAGAGGATGGCGCAGCTTCTTGAACCTCATGGTGGCCACCAGCACGAGCCCATTAGTGAAGACAGACGCAATGACCACGAAAGCCATCCAGGCACTGGTGAGGTGGTATACCCATCTGGGGGCAATGTGGTAATTGGGGCCTTCAAAAGGGCCTGGAGGCAGGAGGGACAGAGTAGGTAGCGGCGTCATCTGCCTGTATGGCTACACCCATCCGTCCTCTCCCGACCCAGACAGAGCCTCCCATCAATGCTCCCGCTCTCCTACCTGCTGCCTTTCTCTCTACCTTTGTCCATCTGCAAACAACCTGCCCTCAATCCCGTCTCTCAGGCCAGAGGACCTGGCTTGCTGGACAGCCACACAGGCATCTTTGAACTTGACAAAGTGAAACTCCTCATCATCTCTGCTGGGTATCTCTCCCTCTTCTGATTCACCACCCCAGTACACTGGGCCAGCCCACTGTAGTGCTATTGGCAGGCTTCTGCTCCCTGAACCCCCACCCTCTACATTGTCTTCCTTGCACACTTCATGTCTTTCTGTTGTTGGATCTTCTTTTTTTAAAATATCTTTTTAAATTGATTTCAGAGAGGAAGGGAGAGGGAAAGAGACAGAAACATCAATGATGGAGAGAATCATTGATCAGCTGCTTCCTGCACGCCCCACACTGGGGATCGAGTCCGCAATCCAGGCGTGTGTCCTGACCGGGAATCGAACCTTGACCTCCTGGTTCATAGGTCCACGCTCAACCACCGAGCTACGCCGGCCAGGCTGTTGTTGGATCTTCACTCACACTCTCCCCTGCACCAGATCCTCTTCCCTTCCACGCGTGAAGCCCAGTTCAGATGTCCTTGGCTTCTGGAAGCCTCTCCAGATTTCCCCAGCTGAGAGTCAGCTCGGCCCCTTGAGACTACCACGGTGAGACTCTAAGCCAGTGATGGCGAACCTTTTGAGCTCAGCGTGTCAGCATTTTGAAAAACCCTAACTTAACTCTGATGCCTTGTCACATATAGAAATTTTTTGATATTTGCAACCATAGTAAAACAAAGATTTATATTTTTGATGTTTATTTTATATATTTAAATGCCATTTAACAAAGAAAAATCAACCAAAAAGATGAGTTCGCGTGTCACCTCTGACACGCATGTCATAGGTTCGCCATCACTGCAAGATGTTCTAGTATATATTGGAGTTCCCTGGAAAGTACAGAGGTTCAGTGTGAGAATAGCAACTGGAACTGTGAGGTGTTTGAAATTCTCCAGCTTGCAAGCAAATGCAAGGGACGGAGGCAATTGCAAAATGAAACAGACTGAGTGTCCTTCCCAGACAATCTATGGAGACCAGATCAGGAGGGCAGGGATAAGAGGGACAGGGCAGGAACAAGGGCCATGCCCGGTGCCGGAGGGACTGGGGCACTCTGAATGTAGGAGGCCAGGAAGGAGTGGCCTCTAGCGGTGCAACCTTGCTGCTGCCTCCTGAAAACTCTGGGACTCATTTTGTGAAGAAATGAGCACGAGAAGGTATTCTAAAAAATACCGGATGGGAGCCCGGCCAGCATGGCTCAGTGCTTGAGCATCGACCTATAAGGTCAACCTCAATTGGCTTCACTGGGAACCAAATCATTATTTTGAAATAGGAGAGATAAAAAGGAAGAATCAAGCATCTCTCCTGTCTTTCCCATATACATTCTCCCCCGCAAAGGGAACACAATAGTAGATGAGGGCATGTTTCTCTTTACCGATGTAACCCAGCTAACAGACGAAGACAGTCCGAATGCAATTTTTTCAATCCCCAGTGGTTTAATGGGTCTGGGCATTGGACTCAGCAGCTGCCAACACCCTGGAAAAAAGGATCCCGCCCCCAATGGAGCAGTCTTGTCAAAACACGAGACATGCCGAAACCGGTTTGGCTCAGTGGATAGAGCGTCGGCCTGCAGACTGAAAGGTCCCAGGTTCGATTCCGGACAAGGGCATGTACCTGGGTTGCGGGCACATCCCCAGTAGGAGATGTGCAGGAGGCAGCTGATCGATGTTTCTCTCTCATCGATGTTTCTAACTCTCTATCTCTCTCCCTTCCTCTCTGTAAAAAAATCAATAAAATATATTTAAAAAAAAAAAAACACGAGACAAATCCAGCTGACCTCTCAACAGACCTTCAGAGCAGCCAGTTTACAGAAACATCCTGACGAATGGGGTGGGCGGGGCATGGGAAGCCACACATAGGAAGACATCAGCAGAGTCTGAAGTGGGTGAGTCCAGGGACTCATTTACTTTGACAAATAAATTGCAAAGAGGTCGAGGGGGAACCTCGAAATTAAAAAAGGCTATAAAGACATATCTATAGTAGGGACGCGAGGGCCTTATTCGAACCCTGATTCAAGCAAACAAAGCATGTGCCCTGACCAGGAATCGAACCATGATCTCTTGGTTTGTGGTTCAATGCTCAACCACTGAGCCACACCACTGAGCCATGCCAGTCAGGCTATGGTTATGTTTCCTAGAGTCCTTTTCTCTTACAGGTGCATACTGAAGATTTATAGAGGAAATGGTGTGATGTCTTGGATCTGCTTCCAGAAATCAGAAGGAGGGGTTAGTGGAGAGGGTTACAGATGAAATAAGACAAATGATTGAGACCCAGGGGTTTACTATACTTTTCTCCCTCCTTTGGCAGATACTTGAATTTTGGGGGGTAAAATTTACAGAAAGGAATCGGGCATTGATGAAGCCCCAGAGGCCCCCACGGAGAGCATTGTCCCATCTCCATCAAGGCGATTCTGGGGCTCAATCAGATTGATGTGAACTTCACGGTTCTCAACCAGCTTGGCCCAGGAACCCCGTTGCTGATCACTACCCTGGCAGTCAAGAAACCTTTGGTTTGGAGGAGGGACCTGGGGACAGGTCTAGGGCTGGGGATCACTAGGGCCCTCATCTCTTTGAAGGGTTTACAGGCAAAGCTTTTTGACTGGGCCACTCCCAGGGCAGGACTCAGTTGCCTCATCAGTTTTCAGTTTCTTTGGGGCCTTTCTCTCTCGTCCTGAGCCAACTCTAAGCGGAAGGGCAGCCCTGGGAGTAGAGCAAACTTCTTCCCCCAGAATGTGCCGGGTAAGGCTGCAGACCCCGGACATGGACACGGAGTTGGACAAGGTGACTAATACAGTCTCTTCTGATCCAAAGGTTCTAGAACTCGCTCATCTCTGCCCTCAAGCCTCCTGCCTGGAGTTTGCCTCCTTTTGGCTTCAGAACATGCAAACATGAGTTAGACCAGGTCCTTTCTCAGACTTGAATGTAACGAGTGCTCACTAGCAATACAGGGCCACGAGGAAAGAGTAATGAACTTGCATGGGAAAGGGATTCTCAAAGGGTCTGGGAAGCCTACGAGGTTTGCAAATGCATGTTTGAGCCACGCCAGCATGGCTCAGTGGTTGAATGTCGACCTATGAACCAGGTGGTCACGGTTCGATTCCCACTCAGGGCACATGCCCAGGTTGCAGGCTCAATCCCCAATGAGGGGCGTGCAGGAGGCAGTCAATCAAGGATTCTCTCTCATCATTGATGTTTCTATGTTTCTATCTCCCTCTCCCTTCTTCTCTGAAATCAATAAAAATGCTTAAGAAAGAAAATGCATACTTGATATTCTTTTTTTAAAATCCTTATCCGAGGATATTTTTCCCATTGATTTTTAGAGAAAGTGGAAGGTGGGTGAGAGAGAGAAAGAGAGAGAAAGAGAGAGAGAGAGAGAGAGAGAGAGAGAGAGAGAAACATTGATGTGAGAGAGATACATCAATTGGTTGCCTCCCACACATTCTAGGACCTGTGGGTCAGGGATAGAGCCTGCAACTGAGGTACATGCCTTTGACCAGGAATCAAACCTGAGACCCTTCCATTCATGGGCAGACACTCTAACCACTGAGCAAAACTGGCCAGGGCTCATATTTGATATTCTGGTGTCTTTTTCTATTCATAAAGGACCCCCAGCCCCATTCGTGTCGCCATAAAAGCTAAGGGACCCCGGCAAGTGTGGTTCAGTGGTTGAGTGTCGACCCATGAACAAGGAGGTCACGGTTCGATTCCCAGTCAGGGCACATGCCTGGGTTGTGGGCTCGATCCTCAGTAGGGGGTGTGCAGAAGGCGGCCGATCAATGATTCTCTCTCATCATGGATGTTTCTCTCTCTCTCTCTCTCTCTCTCCCTCCCTCTCCCTCTCCCTCTCCTCCTCCCTCTCCCAGTCCCTCTCCCTCTCCCTCTCCCTCTCCCTCTCCCTTCCTCTCTGAAATCAATAAAAACATATATGTATAAAAGAAGCTAAAAACATAAGCTAAGAGAGAAAACCCTTTTGGCTGGTGACACTGTGCAGAAGACACTCTTGGGTGGGGCGGGCAGCCTATGGCCCCCTGTGTGGCCACTTGGGCCTGGTTCCCAGGGGGCTGCTTCAGCCATCGGAACCCAGCCTCCACGGCACCTGCCCTCTCACCTCTGGTGGCGTTGCTGTTGGTGTAGGTGAAGATGCTCGCCGGGGTGCTGTCCTCAAAGCTGGCCTGCAGCTGCCCGCCTGCAAGCCTCTGGGGGCCCCACCGCTGGGCCATGGCTCCGGAAAGCCCTATCCCTGGTGCCCGCCAGCCCTCGAGCTGTCTGGGGGTTACAGTGCTTTATACAAGCCTGCAGGATCAGCTGGGCTTCCTCACCTTAAAAGCCCCCAAACTCTTCACCATCTGATCTCTTAATTGGGGCCTGGACTTAGACCTCCTCCTCCCCCAGCCCTTTCCTCCTGGCTCCTTAGGCAAGCCCATGAGGGCAGCTCAGAAGGATTGGCCTGGAACCAAACTCAGAGCTCCTGGCTTTCTGACGCAGCTGCAGGAGCTGCCAAGGACCCTCTGTTCCGTCCTACTGTCCAACTGTTGGAGAGCACAAGAGACTTGGTTGGAAAGTTTGTAAGGAGGACATTCTGAGAAAAGGGAAGTGTGTGGAAGGCCACCTGCCCTATGTATCAGAATTCCGACTTAGGGGAGACTTAGCAGAGTGTCGAAGGCGGCCCCCCTAATTATTCCTTGAACTTTCCAAACAAGTCTGTGCATGTGCAGACCCCCAGGTGTTTACTGGAATCCTTATGCTTAACCCCTGGATGCCCTTACCTAGAGGACAATAAACACATGTGTCCTCCCAAGATTCTCACCCTACTGATTGTAACTAAAGATAAACATTCCAATAAAGGCCTAACGAGGCAGGCAATCCAGGCTGCCTGGCTCTTTCAGCCAGGCCATCCCTTAGCCTTCTCTTTCACTGTGAAATTGTGTCAGAGTAATCTGTTCATCCATCATTCAGGGGATGCTGGTCAGCCCTGGCATCCAACACCCATTTTTTAAAGAATATATATATATATATCATATATATATATATATATATATCATATATATCATATATATATATATCAATATATATATAAATCAGAGAGGAAGGAAGAGGAAGAGAGAGCTAGAAACATCAATGATGAGAGAGAATCATTGATTGGTTGCCTCCTGCACACCCCACACTGGGGATCAAGCCTGCAACTTGGGCATGTGCTCTGACCTGGAATTGAACCGTGACCTCCTGGTTCATGGGTTGACGCTCAAACACTGAGCAGTGCCAGCTGGGCCCGCACCCGCTCTTAGGTCAGGTGGCCCAAGGGTCAGGATTTTCAGATAAGGGGAGCAGCCCAAAGCCCAAATCTGCCTTTCCCAGCTGGTTTGCCCCAGAGCCCTTGGAGGTGGGGGGTGCTGGGAGGCTTTGCAAGGCTCAGGCGTGGAAATGGAGCCTCCTTGAGGCTCAGACCATCTCACTGTGCCCATGTGCATGCAAGTTGCACTTATGGGGGCTCCTCCCCCAGGAGGGGAGGGGCAGCCTGGGGGTGGGGAGAGTCTACTGTGCATCTTGCTTTCTTCTTCCCCTCTCCTTGCTCGCCATGAACCGCAGCTCCTTCAGTTACCAGGGAGCTCATCTAGGCCACCCTCCCGCAGCATCTGAGGGTGCCCACAGGCACTCAGACCCCCCTGCTCAAGTCTCCTTCCCCTGAGTTCACGACCTTTCCTTGCACTGTCCCTGACTATAGCCTCCCTCTAGACTTGCCTTCAAAGGTAAACCTCTCCACAGAGTGTTCCAGATGAGTCACCTCTGCTGTCCCTCCTCAGCCACTGTAGTCTGGCTGCTGCTGGCTCTGCACTTGGCAGGGGCACCAATTACCTGCTAATTGCCCAATTCTGCAGCCTTACCTATTTTTGTTGTTGTTGTTGTTATTGTTAATCACCCAAGGATATTTTTCCATTGATTTTTAGAGAGTGGAAGGGAGGGGGAGAGAGAGAGAGAAACATTGATGTGACAGAGACATATCGATTGATTGCCTCCTGCACATGCCCAGACCAGGCCAGGGATTGAGCCTGCAACTGAGGTATGTGCCCTTGACCAGAATCGAACCTGGGACCCTTCAGTCCGAGGGCCGACATTCTATCCACTGAGCTAGGGCTTACCTGTTTTTTTAAAAAAATATTTTTATTGATTTCAGAGAAGAAGGGAGAGGAAGAGAGAGATAGAAACACCAATGATGAGAGTCATTGATCGGCTGCCTCCTGCACACCCCCGACTGGGGACCGAGCTCACAACCCGGGCATGTGCCCTGACCGGGAATCGAAACGTGACCTCCTGGTTCATAGCTTGATGCTCCACCACTGAGCCACACTGTCCAGGTACCTGTTTTTACTGAGGACCCTCCACCCTCCTCCAAAGGCCCCCCTTAGGGAGCACACCCTTTCTCATGGCTTCTGCCGGCTCTGAAATCCAGCTGCCTTCAGCCACCTCCTGTGCGTTGGCCTTAAGCTCAATAAAGCCAAGGCCCGATGGCCTGCCTGCCCCGTTCTCAGTGCCATGACTCTTCAGCACTCTGCACTGACGTTTCTGGTAATACGGCCACGCCTGCAGGTGGAGGGAAAGCCTTGGCTGCCAAGCTGAGGGCCGGAGCTGCGTGCAGCCCCAGCGGGGCCACCCATAGCAAGAATGGCTCTTGGCATTGGTCAGTGTCTGCCACGTGCCAGGTGCCAGGCTAGAGGCTCAGCATGAAATTAAAGGAAAGAGTCCTGGCCATAGCCTTGCCAGGGCCCTTTGGCAGCCTGGAAAGCTGGGCTTGCTGCCAAGGACACCTGGAAAGCTGTGTTCCCTTAACTGCATGAGAAAGTTCACCCAGCACTTCCACTCCTAGGTATCTACCCCAAAGAACTGAAAAATGTACACACAGCCCACCTGGTGTGGCTCAGTAGCTGAGCATTGGCCTATGAACCAGGAGGTCACGGTTCGATTCCATGGTCAGGGCACATGCCTGGGTTGTGGGCTTGATCCTCAGTAGGGGGTGTGCAGGAGGCAGCTGATCAATGATTCTCTTTCATCATTGATGTTTCCCTCTCTCTCTCTCCCTCTCTGAAGTCAATAAATATATATTTAAAAAAACATGTTCACACAAAAAACTTGTACAAGAATGCTCATAGCAGCACTATTCATAAGAAGTCAAAAGATAGAAACAGTCTCAAAGTAAATCAACAAGTGAATGAATAAACAAAATGTGGACAATGGAGTTCAGCCATAACAAGAAATGGAGTTCTGCCCCATGGCACAACATGAATGAACCTCAAATGATGCTGAATGAAAGAAGCCAGTCACAAAAGGCCATATAGTGTATGATTCCATTCATATGAAATGTCCAGAATAGGCAAATCCAGAGACAGAGAGGAGATGAGTGGTTGCCAGGGGCTGGAGGTGGGGCAATGAGGAATGACTGCTAATGGGGACAGGGATTCCTTGGGTGGTGATGGAAATATCCTAAAATTAGATTGTGACGCTGCAGCCACTGTGGAAAAACAGTTTGGCAATGCCTCAAAAAATTAAAAATAGAATTACTACGTGATCCAGCAATTCCACTTCTGGGTATATACCCAAAATAAGTGAAAGCGGGGGCCCATAGAGGAAACATGTTCAAGCAGCTCACAGTGTAGCTTAATGTGACAATGTCAGATCCTTAGAAGTCACCCCCAGGTCATTGTGACTTCCAAATCCACGCTTTTCTCTCTTCCTGGGTTGCACGGAGCTCTGTTTGCCTGTCTCCACCAGGGTCAAAGAATCAGAGCATCTGAAGATGCGAGAGCTGGAAATGGGCTTCCTCTGAGATCACCTGTCCATCTGGTCCCTTCTGAGCACTGGACACAGGACCACCTGTTCCTGGCACCACCGTGGACTGGCTGGGTGGCCTTGGATGGGGTGACCTTGCCATTTTGGGCCAGGTTCGCCTTCTGTCTATGCCCAGCCGGTTTGGCTCCATGGTTGAGAGTCAACCTATGAACCAGGAGATCGCAGTTTACTAGTAATTCCTGGTCAGGGCACATGCCCGGGTTGCGGGCTTGATCCCCAGTAGAGGGCGTGCAGGAGGCAACCAATCAATGATTCTCTCTTATCATTGAGGTTTCTCCCTCTCCCTCTCCCTTCTTCTCTCTGAAATCCATAAAAACTTATTTAAAACATAAAAAGTAAAATAAAGGGAGAAGGCTAGTCCTGTCTCCCCCCAACTCTGGCCTCATGGGGCTGCCATGTTGGTCAGAAGCTCTTTGAGAACAATGTGCAGCGCCATCTCAGGGAGAGTCTAGCAGAGGAGGGTCAGGACATCTGGAGGAAGCCTCCAGCTTGAGCCCTGGAAGTTGCCCACCACCTGCTAGGCCCACTCTTGCCCAGCATCACACTAATCACTGAGCTCAGTCATGGGTTGGCCCCAAGATCCTGGGGAAGGGGAGGGGAGATGGCAGAGGCGGGAGGAGGTGGGGATGGCAGTGAGTCCTGGGCCGTCACTGTCTCTGCAGAGTAGGGTGCTAATTGATGATTAGGGCTAACAGAAGATCAAGTCCTGTTTTAGCAGAAAGCAGATTACTGCCCTGGAAAGTCAGCCAGCACCTGGCCCCACACGTGCGCTCCCCGAGGCCCAGTGAAAGCTCACTCGTGTCCCACCCTATGGTGGATGAAAGAGGAACAGCACTTGAGAAGGAGATGAAGAACAAGGAGGGGGCGAAATGTGTGTGAAGAGCAGCAGGAGAAATAGGAGAGGCCCTCCACTGTGCCCCCCTCCCCCCCTCCTTCCCTTGCTGCCAGCTGGGGCCGCAAGCCAGGCTGGAAGATCAGATGGCCAACTAGTCTAATCCAACTACTCTTAAGCAACTGGGAGGGGCCATGATTAGGAGCCCTGGGGGCTGGCTGTCACCATGATTCATCTCTGGCTTTGGCCAGCAGTCAGTGGCTGCTACAAAGACAAGGCAAGGAACAACTTGGCCATTTGCCTTTGACTTTTTTTATTGTAATGAAATATACATAACATCGAATGTACCATATGAACCATTTTTAAATTTTATTTTTCAATTAAAGTTTACCTTTAATATTATTTTGTGTTAGTTTCAGATATACAGCATAGGGATTAGGTAATCATATACTTTACAAAGTGTTCCCCTATTATTTCTAGTACCCACCTGGCACGATTCATAGTTATTACAATATTATTGACTACTAGAGGCTCGGTGCACAAAAC